GTTCTGCTCCCCACTCTGTCTCTGGTGAAGCCTCTCACCGCCCCTGAGCCTCTGGCCTATACCCCAGTTCTGCACAAATAAATAAATCTTAAAAAAAAAAAGGAATGCCCAACCCTATTTTTGACATATTTCTAAATTTTCAGTAAATGCAGCAATTCCCTCTAACTCATCATTGCTAATCAAGGAAAGATAAACAAATTTGTCCACTAATTTCCTATACAGAATACATAAGTTCATTTTCATATTTCAAGCTATAGACAGTATCTTTTTCAATGAGATTCCTTAATTTGTGATTTCTTGCCATAGTCCTTGGTAGCTATTTTTTGCATCTCTCACCATTTCCAGAAACAAACAAACAAAAATCTATTATTAATAGGGCGATGTTAACACTGTTTCACATAAGTGATTACATTTATGACTTGTACAAAAATGCCCAGGAATGTAAATGCAGTTTTTATATTTCTGACAAAAAAATTTAACCTTACGGAAGTTAAAATTTAGAGGAACAAAAAATGATCCCAGCATGGCAAGATACGCAGTGGTGATGGTAGTGATCTCAGTAACCATACGTTATATTTTAATTTGAAAAACTGTAAAAAAAAGTCCTCCCCCAAAGTTTATGTTGTAAAATTAAAAAAAAAACTCATGGCAAAAGCCACTCACCTGACTTATGTCGCTTGTCCAGGCAGCCTTCTCCTGGCGTGAAGGTGCTAACAGGACCACCGTGAAAGGGGCCGCATCAGGTCGCTCCACCACTATCTTAAAATCCAGGTGCCCAAACACTTGCCCAGAACCTTTGGCTTCAACACGTGCAAACCAAATAATTAGATGTGAAGGCGAAAATATGAGTAATGGTGGCTTTCACACAGTGCTAGTAATATGATTGATATACACTCTTCCAAAATTTTATATCCTCAATATGGTGCTTCTTGCACATGGAGAAGGTTCTTTTAAGCTTAGAAGCAAGTAAAAAAAACTCAGTTCTCCCTCTCATTTCATGTTTGGAAATTTCCATAGTGGGCAGGTGGGAACAGGCAGTGGGGTCATGGCCAGCGAGCTCTTCTATCAGTAGGAAGAGCACATTTTGCTTGGCAGCCAGAGATTTAGATTGACATCTCTGGTTTCAGCTCACTCCTATGATGTAGGCCACCTTTAACATCATCAAGGGAAAAAGCAGAAATTTCCCTTTATAAATGTGAGTGATTATAGCATACAAATTTTGCAAATATGAAAATATGTACTAGCTTCTCAAAAGTTATTCAAGATGCCAAATATTCCTTCTTTTTTATTATTTTTACTTTACATGATCAATGATCTTTTAAATATGTTCACCTTTCTTCATACTTATTCCCTCATGTAATGTCAGATTTCCACTTAAATATTCCTTCTTAAAAAGCATTCTTAAACCACACTATGTCATTTGTCCTACAAAGCAAATTCCCTGCATGTTCAATGCCTTTCAGAAAATGCAGTGGAATATTTGAGGACCTGTGATTTAGTTTTGTATTGTTCCAAATCACATGTTTCATTGAAGACCTAGAAATAATGAAATCAAGCAAACAGGGAAATAAAGTTTTCCATAATCTACAGAATTCCCACACTCTAATTCAATTTTGCTCTCATTTCTGCCTGCTATCAGAAAGTTACTCTCATGACACAAATTCAGTAAAATGTGAATTCCCAAAGGTGGTTTAATAAGGCTCACATGTTAAATGGTCCTACAGAATTTTTCATATGTAAATGATTTACAGAGCTTATGCTCAGCATTTCTGCTACCTCCTCAAGCAATCTTCCTTGATATAAACAAAAACCATATGATTATAATTTTTATACTATTTCTAAATGACAGACTGTGACTTACAGTCATCATCGCTTGCATCAGGCTCTTCAATCAATGTACATTCTATTAAAGAAAGAACTCCACCTGTCTGGAAAGAAACCAGTATTTCACTGAGACCATATTTTTGCAAATTCTGATTGTAAATCTTATATTCAAGACACCACAGAAGAAAGCATAGCAATTCTACATCACAATTTTCATAGAATTCAGAATTAGATATGTAACAGCGATTGAACTCATTTAACTTTTATTGTTCTTCTTCCCCAAATCACTCTTATCCTGTGCTTATAAAATGTAGCAAGTCAGCCTATGCAAAAATAGATGATACCTATGGGGTCTTAGAAAGTGAATACAATTCAGCAAAAGGCTACACTCACCAACTAGAAAGACATTTTAAACAGCAGAAAGTTGTTGTCATGGTAGCGGATAATATTTTTAGGCATTAATAACCAAAGGTGTAGATAGACAAACTTTCTCTGTAAAGGGACAGATAGTAAGACTCTTACACTTTACAAGTCATATGATCTCTATCAAGCTACTCAAATCTGCCACTTTAAAAAGCATGAATGCAGCCAAAGACAGTAAGTATGGTTGTGTTCCAACAGAACCTTATTAACAGAAAACAAAGAGCACTGTGGGCCCTTGGTGCAAAGCAAGATAAAATAGCATTTAGAGAATATTATCAGCACACTGTAGTGATATGACAAGATTTTGTCATCAACTAGAAATAAATTTGCCCAGGTTATGATTTTAATTGTATCTCTTCATAGTAATACACACTTGAATTTCTATTATTTCAAATCCAAGTAACAACAAAGTAAATGTCAAACTTGGTAGCTGTACACCACTATGCAATAATGACAATGTTTTGTGATAAATGGCATGGGAAAAGAAAGTCATCGTTTCATTAACCTCAATGCCTCTTCAGTGCAGGGAACATAAATGAGAGTCATGTAAAACCAGTACCTTGAGCAGATGTAGTTTTCCTCCTGAACTTCTTGTACAAATTAAAAAGTGTTTTGTAAATAAGAAGCATTGTCTTTCTCCTTCTTTTTTCAAAGATAATGAACCCAGGCGAACTTTACTAAGTTTCCCCTTCTCAACAGAAGGTACTTGAATAAGAGAACCTGGTGATCACAAAAGTGAAGAATACACAGCAATTAAAATTCTGTCAAGTGAGAACTGTTCTTGATGCAAGAAACAATATGGCTTGTTTCCAGAGATATCAAGGATTTATTTGCACTATTAAAACAAGTTAATCCCCTACACGCTGGACAGAACAAACAGTGCACTGTTTGTAGAGTTGCAACTAATTTGTAAACTATTGTAAAACAGTCTAGACTTGATTATTCATGTATAAGCTGGAAAAATAAGTTTAAAAGAAAGCCAAATTGAATTCAAATAACTAGGTACTTCTTCCATCTCTGCCTAATTGACTGATCTCAATCAAATTATTTACTTAAGAATAAGGTACACATTGTATAATTACACATATAGTAATAAAATAACACGATAAAAGGCAAATGGAATTTATTCTTCATGAATTAATTCTTCATTTACCTGCAGGTAGATAAAAAGTATATTAATGTAGTTTACTTTATACCTTAATAGTAGAAAATGCCTGTATGCATGCTTAAAAAAAATCTAGACAATTCAATGCAAGTAAGGACAATTTTTAGAGGGCAGCAAGCTCTTTGTGAACTCTAAATGGAAAATAAGCTGAATAAAATCTATACCCAGAACTTTCCTGTTAACAAAACTATGCTTCATTAAGTGTAAGGTTATGCATAGACTTTATATAAGTTCACCTTAATACTGATCCCATCACTCAAAAAATAAAATTCCTATCAAGGTTAGATATTAAAATAAAAAGTACTAAGATTCTTGCAAATATCTTGCCTCTGACTTGTGAAATGCCCAAGCCAGTAATATTTCTACTATTCATTCAATTCACCACCTACCCCAAGGGCTTACAAGGGCTCATATCAGCCTTTTAAGAATCATCAAATGCATATACAACCTTTAAATTTGTTAACAGTGAGCATCACTAAGAGATGAGACTGTAAACAGCTTTAGTTTTCTCTTCAAGCATTTTCTGGGTTTCCTGTTTTGTTTTTTATTATTATGAGTAAAAAATTATTTCTATAAGTAGAAAGAACATTAAAGTTTTTCATATAAGTGAAACAATAAAACTGTGATTATGGATCACAAAATCTTTACTTTAAACATATGAATATCCCAAATAGAATCTGCATTTTAACAGAATGCAGAATCCATCAGTTTAGGTGGGACAGCTGGACAGAGGCAGAGTGGTCAGCTACTGGACCCTAAGGCATGGACACAATCCTAGGGAGGGTATGGAACACAGTGAAGGCTTCATTCCTCTGAAAGGAATGGACAAGAGGAAATAAACTACGGGGAGAGGGAGAAAACTGGCAGAGAACAGGAACAATGGTTGGAAGAGTGGGAAAGTGGGGAAAGCAGACGGTAATGTTTAGAGAATAGATGGGCAAGCAATGCCAGCAGAAGGACTGTACTTAAGGGGCTCATGGAGTGGAACCAAAGCCAAGGGAGATCATTCAGAGGACCTAGGTCATCCCCTTCTTCACAGAAAGGGAAATTGAGGCCTGAGAGGCCTAATATTTTTCCTAAGGTCACCCTTATTTGAGTGACAGAGCCAGAAGACAGAAGTGGATTTTGCTAAATAAAAACTGAAAGTTGGAGAACAAGTAGATGGGAAGACAATAAGTTCCAGCTTTTCCATGAATGATCATGAGTCATCCATTAGGCATATCCATATCATTAGGCAGAGTGAAGGACTGGGTTTAGACAAATATCTTAACAGATAAATTGGTTTAGGAGTAATTTTCAAAAAGGATATAAAGATATAAGCAAGGCTATGAAAACCCAATAATAATGTTTCAGTGGTAAATGTTTCTAGTATTCAGTGATTTTTATAAGTCAAAAATTACAAAATACATGTCAGCTCACATATTAGTGATTACTGTGATTTTCAGCTCTGAGTTTAAAAAAATATATTTCCTTAGTAATTACACACTAACATGCTTAATCTATAACTATTCACTCATATACAACGAAGACCCTGTGTACATTAGGTACAAGTGGAAATCTACACATCTAATGAAAAATGAGCAATTTCAGCACTATTGTTTGGTTTATAAATAATAATATTTGGGGGGAAAATGCTAACTGAATTATTTTTCAGAAATAATCTATAGTACTGCAGCACAGCCATGAATCTAGGGAAGTCTTCTAATTTTCCAAACTAGAGAAAAATTAACGTTAAATTAATAATTTCTCGTATCAAACCACTGCTATTATACAGTCCTTTGTACCTCAGTCATCAGTTTACTTAATATTTGAGGTGATCTTACAAAAATACTTCTGTTATTTCAATCACTAAATTCCAGAGAGTAGTATTCAAGACTGATTAATGCCCTTATTCTTAATTGCACTCAGTAGTAAATAGAATGAAGAGCAATTTCCATTGGGTTAGACATTTAAGAAGATATAACTATTTCTAAATCCCATGTTACAATTCTAAAGAACACTAGGTACACTGAAATTACATGATTTGAGCCTAGCAATGATTAAGATACCCAGAGACATCCACGTCTCGTTCTCAATACATTTCTCTTTGAAATCAGTCACCTTTAATTGTCCTGATTCATAGTCTCATAAGAAAACACTGGCTATGAATTACAGTTTTGATCAAAATGTCAATATCAAGTATTCATATCTTGTAATAAGTACTTAGAAATGTCAATTTAAAGTATTCATATCTTCTAATAAATATTCATATGTATTTATATTATGAAAATAGAAACTCATTCCAAACCCTGATACTTGTTTTTTAAGGTTTTTTTTAATGTTTAAGATTTTTGTTTGTTTAAGTAATCTCACAGGCACTGGTCGAGATGCAATTGTAATATTAGTTTGTTTAATCTTGACAACTATGAAAGACAGGTATGACTATTAACTCCAACTTAGAAAGGAGAAACTGAATAAAAGAGATGTTAGTTGCTGAATATCACTCAGCAAGCAAGTGGAGATGACCAGATTTGATCGCCGGTATCATGGCTAGAATGTCTTTTTTTTTTTTAAGATTCATTTTTATATTTATTTATGCAAACAAGAACAGGAGTGTAGGCTAGAGGTACAAGGGGATGAGAGGGTTCACCAGAGACAGAAGGGGGAGTGGAACAGGCTGACTGACTGAAACACACTGCTGAAGAGAGCAGTGGATGAGGCAAGAGAAATGGACCATGCCGAGATGGAACTCATGCTGCAGTGGCTGGTGACAGCTTGAGTGTGCTGAGCTCTTAACCCCTGATGCACCAGGGAGACCCTGTCTTTTTTTTTTTTTTTAACAACAAGTTTTTAATAGATTCTTTAAAAATAAATGACAGTATCAGGCCATGGCTATCCTTTGCATCCTTTGTATCAGCTGTGTAACAATTGGAATTAATTTACAATATGGATCTGTTATATGACCCAGCAATTCCACTCCTAGGTATCTACCTGGAAAATACAAAAACACTAGTTCAAGAGAAAACTTGCACTCCCAAGTTCCAGAACTATTTACAATAGCTAAGATATGGAAACAGCCTATAAATGACCAAAACCAGAAAAATGTATTAAGGTGTTGTGCATACACACACACAGACACACACAGTGGACTACTACTCAGCTATCAGAAAAGATGAGCTCTTGCCATTCACTGAAACATGGACAGAGTTGGAAGGAATAATGCTAAAGATAAACACCGGATGGTGTCACTTACATGTGGAATATAGTAATAGAAAAATGAAAGGGTCAAATAGAGCCAAGCTAAAACGTTAACCCTGAAAGCTGACTGGAATGGGGGCAACCAGAGTGTGTGGGGATGGAAGAGGGAAGGACTAGAACGCAGAAGGGAAAGAGCACAAAGGTTATGGTGGTGGCTAGATGGGTCCTTTGCTGGTGGGCCCACTATGGCAACAAAGCCTGAAGCAGGGGATCCTACACTCTGATAATGGAAACAGTGATGTAATCCAATATTAACACAATAAAAATTATCTTTAAAAAACGTTTGCATTTTCGGGCCCTTCCTGGTGGCGCACTGGGTTAAAGCACAGCACTAAGAAGCTAAAGCCATAAAGCCACTTCAGCATGAGTTCGAGCCCCGCCTGCCGGGAGTGACCACATGGCGTGGCAGACCTCTCCTGACCCACCCGCTGCTCCCCTCAGCAGTATACTTCTCAACCTGCCTGTTCTGCTTCCCACTGTCTCTGGTGAAGGTTCTCACCGCCCCTGCACCTCTGGCCTGTACCCCAGTTCTGTATGAGTAAATAAATAAATCTTTAAAAAGAAAAAACAAAACTGCATTTTCAATCACTAAATACCCGTGCATAGATTGATATTCAAGATAGCTAAATAAGGAGGCCTTTCAGATGGCCTGAACTAAGATGACATATATTTCCTAGTCCTCAGAATAAAAATTCATACACACACACAAAGAGACCTCATAGCATCCAAAAAAGTAAATAACACAAACACTAGCACACAAGTTATGATAAGTTATATAATCCATTTCGTAGAATATAAAATTCTCAAAGTTTTAAAGAAAAAAAAAATCTACCTTAATAGTAGTTAAAGGCTTCTAAGAGATTTAATAAAAGGGGTAGAAGAAACTAATACAAAATAATGCAAAATTTCCAAATTGGCATATTTGGAATACTTTCTACTTTCAGATTAAGGTCTGATCTTTTAAAGCCACCTTTATTGAGTAATTTATAATCAGGCTAACCAAACCAAACAATACAGAATATTACTGCTGAAATTATTGTATCAACATCAGTAAAATAACAACATCAGAAATATTAATAGCTGATAGAAATTACTTAAACACAGAACAAGGAATAAATAACATCTGGACATGAATCACAGACAGAGAAGTGGTTCATGACTGTTCTTCCTCTACATGCAAAAACAACAAAAAATGACTTATTCAATATAGCCAATCTTCCAACATTTTTCATTATAGGTTTTTTCAAACTTTGCAATGTGCCGTAGAAAGGAATGCACTTGTAAAAATATATTAAATGTTTATGCACAATAATACTTTTCAATCAAAATCCTTTCAGAAATTGAATACTACTTACAGAGATTTTGTTTCTTTTCACACGTTATAAAGTTCAAGTGAGTTAGTAATTATTTTTCAATGTACTCCAAATACAAGAAAAATACAAAGTAAGACATTTTACAATCAAAACTGCAATTCAACAGGCAGTTGAAGTTAATCCAATGCCTATTTTCCAGGTATTCATAACAGAGAGCATCATACTAGATAAGAGAGAATTCATAAATGCTGCCTTTCTGAATTTCAATTACTGGGAGAGACAGGTATGCAAATATGTACCTACAGTGCACAAGAGGATAAAATACAGGCAGCAGGAGCAAAGGGTCTTGAGTGAAGAGGAAGGTAAATTCATTCTAACCAGAGGAATGGAGAGGGGAAGATGAGGAAAAAGTAGTAAAAGGCTCCTTAAAGGTATCTGACCTGAGCCTAGTAAGACAAGCAGACCTTCGACAGGCCTTATATTTCACTAATATTTAAAGAAGCATTAATATGGAAGGCCAAAAATGAAAAAAGGGTATCATTTCCTAAAATACACTTCCAAAATTTTCACATATGTGTGATTTCTCTCCTTGTAAATAAATAATGGAAAATAGAACAGCATGTGATATTTTTTTTAAGTATTCTGTGCAAAAATTAAGATGCACAGTACAAATAACGTCTTGTTTGATGAGATTAAAAAAATATAAATTTTAAGCAGCACATTTTGGTAGGGCAACAGAATGCAATTATCTTCTAGCGATATTAGAACATTGTGAACAGAAATTACATTAAAGGTTAATCCTAGTTCCAAACATACGTGCAAGTGTCACCAAGTTCAAAATCATAAATGTGCACCATACATCATTGCAAATGAATTCCATGAAGCACACTGCCCTCCCTCAGAGTACACAGGCACTTAAGAAAAACTCAGGACATGGTTTACTTGGTGCACTTTGCAGTCAGAGCCAGGTAGGAATAGGCATTGTTAGGCTGTTGCTTCTCCAGTTCAGCGCGAATATCTTCAACTCTTCAGAAGCTATTACTGAGTAATGGTTCAAATTACCTCCCACAAACATGACACCTTTGCCATTACCAAAGTGTGAGGCATTTCCTATGGTAACTGAAGTTACCAAACAAATCAAATCATATCGTGTGAGACCGATCCAGAAGTGCTGATGAAAAATGGGAACAAAAGACAGCTGTTTTCGCTGCGGACAGTGTCTCCACTGCTGTGTGAAAGGGTTTTGAGTAATGTAAGTTTCTCTTGGGTCTTTGCCTGGATGTCATCACCACCTGGCATTGCCACTTCAATTGGCCAAACAGGTCTGCACTCCTTGGAGCTGTAGAGAATGTCTGGTCCACTGAGGAGGAGAGTCCAGTCAGAATGTACCTTACTGTCCCACTCGTGCTTTACTATTATTGTGTTGCTGTTTTTCATGGCCCCTGAAAAGAAACAGCACAAAGGTGGGCCTCAACCACAGCCTCGGTCAAGGCCACAGGGATGTCCTGCACGAACAGCATCAACCACACAGCTAAACCAAGCCTGCTTCAAAACAATCTGCCAGTGACCGTGGAACAATCGCAGAGATGAATAGACAGCAGGTCTGTTAAACAAGGACTTACCTTGGCGGATGAAAGTTTGGCTGGTGTCCAGCAAAATGTCACAGCCCTCCACTATCATCCTTTCTATGGCAAGGTTTTTCCTAATGTTCTCAGTGTCACTCACTTCATCATGCATTACCCTGTTGGACACAACACAGACAGGGCACAGAAAGAGGTGTTTTCCATTGGCCTTTGCAGGATGCAAAGAAAAGCTCCACCTGAGAAGTTTGGTTTTGAACTTGTATCAATGTGACCAGAGTTAGGAGGGAGGCCAACTGGACCTCCAGGCTTCAGCATGAACCGAAGCCAGAAATATGTACCAAATGTAAATGGGTCAGATGCTGATTGTCAATGCCTTTTATTAAGCAGGAAAACAACCTGCTCTTTTTTGGGCAGATCCCTCATTGAAATTAAGATGCCATTTTTTTAAAAAGATTTATTTATTTATTTATGCATACAAAATTGGGGTACAGGCCAGAGGTGCAGGGGTGGTGAGAGGATTCACCAGACACAGAGCGGGGAGCAGAACAGGCAGATCTACAAAGTACACTGCTGAGGGAACCAGCAGTGAGTCAGGAGAGGTCTGCTTGTGCCATGTGGGTCACCACCGGGGCTGGGGATCGAACTCACACTGAAGCGGCTGTGGCTAGCTTGCAATGCTGTGTTCTAACTCGTTGTGCCACCAGGGAGGGCCCAAGATACCATTTCTTATGGTAAGATAAATTAGAGAAATTGCTACCTATCCTACAAAAGCAAGGTAAATACAGATGTAAATACTGACCTAAAGCAATAGTCACAGCTCAGTCCAAAATATATAATCTCTAGTTTCTTGCCAAATAAGAACAATAAAAATGCGCCTAAATTATTATTTTTTTAAAGAGTTATTTATGTATGCATAAAGAACTGGGGTATAAGCCAAAGGTGCAGGGGCAGTGAGAGGTTCCACCAGAGACAGAGTAGAGGGCAGAACAGGCAGATTTATAAAGTACACTGCTAAGGGGAGCAGTGGGTGGGTCAGGAGAGGTCTGCCACACCATGGAGATCACCTCCGGGGCTGAGGATCAAACTCGTACTGCAGCTGAGCTAGCTTGCAGTGCTGTGACCTAACCCATTGCACCACCAGGGAGGGTCCTAAATTATATTTTATAATGCTGAAGACAATGTGAATATTTTCAAGTTGAATACAAAGTACACCAAATCCCAATTATGTGAATTATACAAATTCACATGCTATAAACACATCTTCAAAGATTTTTGTTGTTATAAGTAATGGGCATGCTGATTCAAGCAGCACCCCACGGGAGCCAGCATTTCATATTCAGGTCAACATGAGAAATCAAACTGTGGTCTGCATACTGTTCCCTGGACTTATGTACTAAGTTTCCAGAAACGCGCTTGCTGCATCCCCAGACCAGACTTTATTGTAAATTCTCTGCATACCTGGACAGTTCCTCTAGTTTTGATTTAGCAAACTCCAGACTTTTCCTCTCGACATGCTCATGAGGTGTATGGGCTAGGAGTTCATGCAGGGTGATGATGTACCTGGGGATCTACACAGAAAGGCAAGCTTGAGTCAGAAGTGACAATATGTTCCACTGGGACATTCTCTACTGTGCCATCATCATTTTTGTTTGCTCATCTCTAACATTTTTGGTTGTTTTTCAAATATATTTTAAAGAAATATATCAAATTGAACTACACTTCAAACCAGAAAACGTCATCAAGAACACATGAAAAGAATAATAAAGTATAATGGTAGAAACATGTATTTCTTTATATTTTTATTTTTTTTAAAGATTTATTTACTTATGCATACAGAACTGGGGTACAGGCCAGAGGTGCAGGGGCGGGCGGTGAGAGGATTCACCAGAGACAGAGTGGGGAGCAGAACAGACAGATGGATGAAGTACACTGCTGAGGGGAGCAGCGGGTGGGTCAGGAGAGGTCTGCCGCACCATGTGGGTCACCTCTGGGGCAGATGGGGATCAAACTCATGCTGAAGTGGCTTTAGCTTCTTATTGGTACATTAACCTGCTGTGCCATCAAGAAAGGCCTCTTTATATTTTTAATACAATCATACATTTATTAATCAAAGTTTTAAAAAATTAGTTCATAGAGAAACATATAGCTATCATCAAGTCACTTGTCCATATTTAGACATATTTGCCTGTTTATAATTTTTTCTTAGTTGGCAATGCTCCTGGAATGTAGAATTAAAACTCAGGAAAAGACACATTCATTCTATGACACTCTAGGCCTATTTTATCTCAATTCATCCTTTTAGCATAAAAATTATTGTTTGGTTATATTACTTACTTGTGCTTTTGTTGATGAACAGACTATTTACTTGGATGCTGGTATTGGTGGTAGAAACACCATCAACCCTTTAAAGACTCCGAACAGACCACAATAGAGATTTAACTCAAGTTACAGTGATTCAGTTTGTTTTTTTTTTTTCCTGGCTTACAAACTAAAATGTTTTAGAAAGCAAAAGCAGTGGGTTTGGTTTTAAGCATAACAAGTATAAACAACTACCATAAAACTGCCAGGTCAGAGGCTTGAACACGTGCTTTCCTGACTCTGCCAATTCACTAGCACCATAAGAATTACTGTTTTTAATATACTTACATATATTTTTTATATCATTGTTCATTTTTGTACAATGTTTTATTTCTCCTCTCAGGTGTGATCCCCATAATATTTCCATCACCAAGTCACCAGTGAACCATCACCATAGTTTCCTGTACTCTTCCCACCCGTGTTTTAATCCCTCTACCTCCGTCTCCTCTGCTGAATGTCTCAGATGTATAGTTTGCCTATTAGTTTTGTCTTTGTTTAGTTACCCTTGTTAAGTTACTCTGTATTCCTCCTAAAACTGGAGGAATACACCCAATATTTTTCTTTTTCTTCTGACTTATTTCACAGAGCATAATCCTTTCTAGCTCCATCCATGTTGCTGCAAATGACATGCATTTATCTTTTTTGATTACTGAATAGCACTCCATTGTGTGTGTATATATATATCACTTTTTGATCCATTCACCTAATTTTGATTTTTCCATATCTTAGCTATTCTGTATAGCCAACAGGAGTGCAGGTTTCCTTTCGAATTAATGTTTTTGTGTCCTTTGGGTAGATGCCTAGGAGTGGGGTTACTGAATCTTATGGTAGCTCCATTTTTAGTAGTCTGAGGGTTCCTCCACACAGCTTTCCATAGTATTTGGACCAGTTTGCATTCCCACCAGCAGAGTAAAATGATTCCTTGTCCAGCATTTGTTGCTGCCATTTTTTTTAAATATGTGCTATTCTCACTGGTATGAGGTGGTAAATCATTGTGATTTTGATTTGCATTTCCCTAATTATAAGTGATATTGAACATATTTTTTTCTTTTATCTGTTGACCATTTATATTTCTTCTTTAGAGAAGTGCCTTTTTAGATCTCCTGCCCATTTTTTGCCTGGATTGTTTGCTTTGCTTTGTTACATCATGTAAGCTCTTTGTAGATCTCTGTGATTAGTCCCTTATCAGGTGTATAGAGTACAAATATTTAAATATTTTCTACCAATCAGTAGGGCATGCATCTTTGTTTCTTTTGCTATACAGAAGCTTTCTAGTTTGATATAATCCCAGCTGTTTATCTTTTCCTGCACTTCCTTTGCTTCAGAGAATGAGTCTTTAAAAAACGTTTCTGAGATGTATGTCATGGAGTGTTTTGCCTATATTTTCTTCTATATATTTTATGACTTCAGGTCATATGTACAAGCCTTTTATGAAAGTCAGTGTTGTGCATGGTATGAGGTAATAGTCTACTTATATTCTTTTGCATGAGGTGGTCCAGTTTTACCAGCATCATTTATTGAACAGACTAGCTTTGTTTCATTACATATTCTTTGTTCCTTTGTCATAGATTAGTTGTCCATAAATGAGTGACTTTATTTCTGGGTTTTCAATTCTATTCCATTGATCTGTATGTATAGCACTGTAAGAAATATTTCCTCACTTTATTATAAGAAAATAAAGTATGAAGAGGTTCAGTAACTCATCTGAGGTGGCATCATAGTAAGTGCAGAACCCATCACATACCCAGCTCTGACTAATGCACTAATCTAGAGGGTACCTTCTATGGGGACCAGAGTCTCACTCAGAATTTAAAAGAATCCCAGAGAATAAAGAAGATAAAAAGCTTCCCAGGGACCTGTGGGTAGCTCTCTTTTCTGACTTAAGTGTGGGTAACTCCATCCATGGATCTACTTTCATTCTCAAGCAGGTGGTGGTTTTCTTGAGGTTACTCACTGAATTTTACTATGTGCCCACAATTATGCTTGACACTCCAGTAAAGACAAGGATCTGCAGCACTAGGAACGTCCTTGGGAATGTCCTCAAGTCAGTTTTTAGAAGTACAAGGGAGATTCAATCATAGGAAAAAAGGGTATGGGAGGCCTCTCCTCTCAGAGGGACATGTGTAGGAAGCTTCCTGCCAATCCTCCACATAAATTTCTCACTAAGACAGCCTCTAGGGCTGTTCCACTTGGTGAAGAAAGCATAGGTATGCTTCAAATTTTCCTTTTGCACAATGCCATAATGGATATAAGTTTCCCTCTAAGTTAGTAATTCTACAGAACAATCAAGGCAATCAATAGCTAATGTACTCAATTTTTCATAACAAAGAGGGCAGGAGTGGGAGAGCATGACTACTTATAATGCACTGAAAACCCACAAAACTAAGTTTAGTCAATAGCTTCATGATCCTCCCCCATTAATTAAATCTATTTTAGAGAGCTCCTTGGCAAAGATTCAAGTGGATGGATTTTAAATTCAGTAACTGGCCCTTCCCATTTCTGGTGAAGGTATAAATAAGCCTAAGACTGCCAAAAAGCCAGCAAAGGACATTATGCAGCTAAGTGAACAGCTCTCCAAAGAGCTCATCTGTATATTAAAAACTGACTGTAAATCTGTTCCCCCAAAACTCAAAAATCATAGTAAGTACAGTCTAGATGAATCATAAGTCTGCTTTCAATTATGGAATAATACTTGTCACTTTACAGACAATAATTAGCTTGTTCACCAATAATAATACTTGTTACTTTATAGACAATAATTAGCATAAATAGGTGACTAGAACAGCAAGAAGCTACTTTCTGGAAAACTCGTAATAGTGCTGTTTTTGTCAGGAGGAGATGTCATGATTGGTTCACCTATGGACTTATGAGCAGCTGAAGCCAATTTAAACAGTCCCAGCCTGGCCACTGTCTTTGCTCAATAAAAAAACAATGCTAATGACTACATTATTTTCCAAAAACAAATTTCCTGGCAACACTGGATTTACTTATCAGTTCAGTTGAGGATAAATCTACTGTTTTACTCAATTCTACAATTTCTCCATGTTTCCATAGTTCAACACAGTTCATTAATCACAGCATTTGACTATTCGACAAAGGGTACAGGACAGGTAGAACACTTCTCTCTCTCACACACACATAGGTTAGAAGCTGCCAATCACCTCTTCTACTCCCTCTCCCCCTACTCCAACTTCTGCCCAATAAAAGCTCAAGAAGTCTGGTTCAGAGGTCCCTTGGCAGTATGAACTGGGGTCACCTTTTCTAATGTTACGCTATAGCAAAAATGTAGAATACATCCTGAAGACCCAAGCCCCCACCAGAGCAAAGCTGAAGTGCAGAAGTACCAGTGTAATTCAGTGCATGCAGAGGGAAGTAGCTACACTTGGAAATCCAAGGAAGCCTTCATGACTGTCACACTCCACTTGTTAAAGGACAAAAAGGGAACAAGAAGGACAGAATAAACCTTGGAAGAAAAAACCTACAAGTTCTAAAAAGGGTCATTTCCCTCCTTTCCCTACTACAATTAAGGCAGGCGGGAGAGATGCCAAATGAATAAGACACAGGAGAAAGAATGAGGCCCTTACGCAGCAAGTTTTGGTGATTTCCCCTCTTGGTTAACTGTAAATAGTTAGGGGGAAGCAAATAAATAAAAGCACAGTTCAGTGTACTTTCGATTTAGATACTTCCTGCAGTTGGATCAATTCGGGCTAAATTCTTTAAGTTTGAGGTTTCTCCCAAAACAATCATTCTCATAATCTGAGGCCTGGAAGAAGCCAGAGAATGTCAACATCTAGCCCTGCAACTGAAGTCTAGGGTTACAAGCCACCATACTCTTGGGGTGGCAACCAAAGATTAAGACTGGATTCCTGGCAACACCACTGAGTTACCCAACTCAAACTTTCAAAACTAGGTTTGTCCTCCTGGAATCACAGAGTCAGAGAACCAGAATCATACGAGGTAACAGAGCTCAGTTGCCCCAGTTTGCAGATTTTATAAATGAAGATTGATATTGATTCAATAATTTTTTTCTCCAATGCTGTGACTGAAGGGTCTCCTAAAACCCCCCAGCCCAATGACCCTTTACTGATACTATGCAAATTCCTTGGGGGTGAATCAAAATGCTAAGTCATTTTTGGCTTAAATCCTGGGAGTAGTAGAAGGAGATGCAGGTGAAAGGGTAACAGATGAGTATCTAAATACAAAGGCCACCCAAGACCCTGTATTTAACTGTGTTTGGACATCTCACTGAAAATGCAAATGAAATTCACTACTTTGCAGCACAGAGAGAATTGCACCAGGGGTATTAAATAAAACATCAGTGGGCTATCGAAAAGGGAGCCAGGTGCCTCCCTGAATGTCCTGTGTGATTTTCACAACTCTCCCTTTATAAATTCACCTGTGTTGGGGCTGCTGAACATAAACTGCTTAGGTATTCATTGTAATCTAGAGGTAAACGTTGAAGAGTCAAACAAGAATCCAGATCAATGCACTATGCAAAATTTGTTTCACTCTCAGTGAAATCTTAAATTATAATTTTGTGTAAAGCAAACATTTTTTGAAGTTTTCATTGTGAAATATTTCTTCAGAGAGACAAAGTATTTAAACAATTCAGTTCCACGGAAAAAAAAACAACACGTAACATTATAAAGTTTCACTATATATAAGTTGTTTCAAATGCATCCTTTTGGTTTTTAAAAGTCTTAACTGAATTTCTGTGGTGACCTAGAATTTGAGCAGGATTTGACTTTTGGACAAGCAATTAGGAACCAAAGCAACATTTTTTTATGAGGTTACAAAACAGCAGAGTCAGAGATGCCTGTTCATGAGAACAGGACTCTCCACAGAAAACCTGACACACATGATTAGAAGAACCTGTTAACCACATGACAATTTAAAGGTCTGTTTGGAGGCCCCACAAATTACATAAATGGGTACACTCAAGAACAGAAATGATACTTTTCAAAAGAACAGGAGAATCAATGCTTTCACAGTTTTCACTGTTCAAAAGAACAGGAGATTTTGGCTTCCACAGTTTTCACTGAAGAGCTCTTAAGGGTAAAGCCTATAGGAAAACTTAAGTGTACTTTGATCCCTAGGTTGCTCTAATCCCAAAAAGAGAACATCAGGACAAGCCCAGCCTCACCACAGCAATCTGACTAGGAGCCAAGAGTCCCTGGCCCAACCAGTGTCTCTGGCTCCTAAGTCTCCACAGCCTTTGTGACTGGGGATGTCCCCCCTCTGCTCTCCAGATCTCCAGCCACTGGGGCGCTCAACAGCAAGAACAAGAGGCAGGAGGATGGGCAGGAACAAAGCCCTTCCCAGCACTCACTCCACTCCCCAGGAACCTTTTATGCAACAAGCATACACTGGAACATTTGCACAGCATCCTATTTCCGTAAACCTAATAATATTTTTAAACATGCTGGAGGAGGAGACGCCATGGAAGAGGTCTGTGTGGAAACTTTTTGTAAAAGAAAATTGTGTGGCTTTTCAAAAAAATCATTCTGGCTTTTTGCTTCAAAAATGTCTGATTTTCTTACCTGCACTAGATAGAGAAGGAATGAGTAGCCTAAAGTTGTTTCTCTAAGGGTCAAGCTAAAGATGACGGATGATGCTTATATGATTCAATTCCTCACAGGGAATCCTTTTACATCTCCCTCTGGTTAGGTACCACAATAGCAAGTTGGAACCAGTAACTTGTAGCACAGATCCCAGATGACTCACCTGAAACATTGGGTAGGTCAAGAATGTTTCCAGCATCCTCCCCTCACAGGCAGGGTTGGCTTCATACTGTTTTAAGAGTTTGTCAAAATCTCTGTTTTGCTTACAATTGGCAAGCACTTGAAGGCTGTACTGGTGGTTACGCACAAATTCTTGATAAATATTCAGCATAGGAAGCAAAATATCAAACAGGTCGGCTGGAAAGAAGAAGTAAACATGGCAGTTCTCTTTGTGCTTGTTAAATTGCCTAAGGTACAGGGAGAGATTGTGTTCACTCCGTGCTGTGGCAGAGAGTGGCTCCCAGCACCAGGTCCCAGCATGCCTGGGGTCCCAGTCAGATGCCTGAATGATCTGTAGAATGCACCATGGGGCAGAGTCTAGCTCATCCCCAAACAAACCATGCAGCTCAGGAGAAGGAGCCAAAAGGTACCTACTGAGGTGGAGCTCAAAGAGCAATGAGACAGATTCTCAGTAGTGAAAGAATCACACAGGTCAATAGGAAAATTCAGGTAGATTCAACTGAATAATGCTGATGTTATTTTACTCTAATGATTAGCATCATTAGGAGAAAATCTTATATTGTTAAAGATGTACTTACCTAAAATTAAAGTTGGCCAGTTTGCTATCCTTGCCTTCAGTCCTTGATGAAATATTTCATGAAGAAACATGATTGTTTCACTATAAAAATTGATAAATTATATAACTTGGTCACTGTAGGTACTTATTTTGTTAAAGAAACGCAGTGAATCCCAAAGCCTTAATTAAATACATAATGTATATGTCTCCTGGGATCTCTAAATTGTATAACCAATGATAATGTGGATTATCACCTCCCCACAAAGCAATTTATCTTTCAGACAACCTTAAAAACTCAAAGAAAATTCTAAACAAAGCTTCAGTTACTGGAAGACAAATTCAATATGATATAATCCTCTTTATCAATTTAGAATAAAAACAGCTCTATAGTTCAAATGTAAGACTTCAACTGATAATCAGAAAATTAGTTATGATCTTTTTTCTCTTCAAACTAGATGATAACTCAAGGATAGGCCTCTTTCACTAAAATGAGTTTTGACAGAAAAAGAGAAAGGGAAAAAAAACTCAAGGCAAAGTATAGAACTCTATTAGTATAATAATGCTTAAGATACAGAAGCCAAAAATGTAAAAGAATCTTCTCAAAAGAAGGTCAGGCACCTCCACAGAGATACTAAAATGAGAACTATGAATAAAAGGCATCTAAATTCCTATGAGGTTCAAAAAGTGTCTTTTGTTTTCTCTCCACTAGAATTAACTTAATGGAACGAGACTTCAAAGTGTTTTTTGAACTAACACATGGACATCATCTAATACAGAATTATTCACATTAGTGAGATAACTTGGTTTCATTATCATCATTTTTTGATTAAGGTAACATTGGTTTATAACATGGTATTTGATTTAGAGGTACAGTGTCACATTAGATAGGTTATCCCAAATGGGAAGTCCTTTCTATTTCCAACTGGTTGGTGACACAAAATAGACATGGCTTACCGATAGCCATTTTTCTTTTATTGACATTTTAAATTAGGCAGTATTTGTTATTCAGGAATTTCATCCAAATCTAGTTTAGTAGATACTGTATTTAATTACACTTTCAATCTCCATACCTTTAACTAGACAGAGAAGATAGAGCTAAAACTACAACTACATTTCCTGTAATTCCTTGCAGATAGGATTCTGATATAAATTCAGCTCCATGAATAGATATATTTGGTATGAAAGGCAGAAGTAGTGTCTGTCTCCTGTTGCTGAAAGTCAGTTATGATGACATGAGTGTTTGGGGGCCAATTTCAGCACACATCCTAGCATTCTGTTTCTAGGCACCAGCTTTATCGGCCTGAGAGGCAGACATAATAACAATGAAAATGGCTAGAGTTTCCTAACCTATGGATCATATTTATGGTGTTGAGTCTTTGAACTCATGGTCAGAGACAGCTTCTTTAATTTCTCCAGCTATTCCACAGGATTCTATAAGCAATGAGTTTTCTCTACTCAGAGAATGGTTTCTCCAATTCTGAACATAGCTAAATTACATTTTTAAGTACAAACTCTGTTCAAAGTCACTGATCTGCAAAGAACTTTGTTTTAAAAGGTAATTAAAAGATATCTAGTTAAATGATAGCAATGGCAATAAAAACTATAAACCTCACATTCAAAAATAGTTCTTTTCAAATCTTCATGTAGGACTAGGTAACTAGCTATAGTAAACAATTTCTAGGTTGTATGAAGAGTTTATGGTCTCACCTTTCAAAAAGAAATACACATTTCTTGATTAAGCAATTTAAACAATGTGACAGACCTAGCCTTCTGGGCTACAGATCAAGCAGTTCAATGGAAACAAATACCCAGGCGCAACCTATAAGCAATGTGATGCAGGCTTTGATGGCATCATTGTCAGAGTGCAGTTCACAGTCCCATCCACTGTAGCTGTTGAGCCTGCATACATGGGTGACTGGAATAGCCGTCAGAATGCTGACTGTACTGCCTGAATCACACACTTCAGAGGAGCCATTGCCACCCAAATGTGGGGAAATCTCCCTCTTTCCTTGAAACGGAAGAACATGAAGACTAGCTTTCTAGCTAGTCTAACATTCAAGCTAACATTATCAGACTTTTACTCATCAAGCATCCTACCTGCTATCATCTACAAACCCTCCGTCATTCCACTAAGGCCTGAAGCACTTAGCAAACAGTTCATTGTCAGTTTTTTATCCAACCCTTAGTGATTGCAATATGCACATAAGCAACATTCCAATTTTTTGGCTTCTTGGGCCTTTGAATTCCTCTCCCCCAAAGATCGTCTCCTTTATTTAATCTCAGTCAATTTTTCCTTGATACTACTCTAAATCCTGTCATTGTGAATAACTGTGTCCTTACCGAAGTCATGTTCAAGCACATTATTTTCTAACTACCACATTTATCTGTCAATTCACTCCATTTAGAGCCCTGACTCCCCAAACCCTTTACATAATTGGGACTTCTGTCGCAGTCACATAATATAGTACCATGTAGTGATTTTTTTTTACTAATTTTTTTTTTAAGATTTATTTATTTGTGCATACAGAACTGAGGTACAGGCCAGAGGCTCAGGGGCGGTGAGAGGCTTCACCAGAGACAGAGAGGGGAACAGAACATGCAGATCGACGAAGTACACTTCTGAGGGGAGCAGCAGGCGGGTCAGGAGTCTGCCACACCATGTGGTCACCTCCGGGGCAGGCGGGAATCGAACTCATGCGATAGCGGCTTCAGATTCTCAGTGCTGTCCTTTAACCCGCTGCATCACCAGGAAGGGCCCACCATGTAGTGATTGTTAAGAAAACAAAATGCTCATATGTAAAGATGGTGAGGACGTATTTTTAAGTGAAAAAAAGCAAGTTTATAACCAAAGCACATTGTCCTCTTGTGTAAGAAGGGGAAAATAAGCCTCAAAATGAACATTTAATTTGATCCATATTAGAAAACACTGGAAGGACACACAACAGGTCCTCAAATAACATCATTTTGTTCAAGATCATTTTGGTATAACATAAAAAAAATCACAGTCAACAATGAGCAAAACAACATTGCTCAAGGACCTAATTTCACTATATGTGGTTCCCAAGATCCTATCGAAGCTTTTGAGGCCACTGTGTACAATATACTAATGATGGTTACATGGAGAAAACAGGAAAGTTGAGGTGGGCAGATGTAAGTGAGATTAGAGCATGACTTCTAGTTTTTGTTGGTTGATGTTTGCATGTTGATTTGACCATGTAAATGCATTTTTTGCCCAAAAAAAGATAAACATTTTAATTAAAACAGTGAAGCAATTTTTCCCTTCTTTCATTTCTTCATTTTTTCTACAGTATTTACCATATTCTACATATTTCACTCATTCCCTATTCACTATGAGTCTTCCCACATCAAAATTTAAGTTCCATAACAGCAAGGATTTCCTGCTTTGTTCACTGACGAACTCTCAGACAGTACAAATATTTATTCAGTAAATAAATTTACTAGAAATTCTCAGATTCTCTATTGGTTTTTGCTCTTCCTAAAAGATTTTTTACATAAGTTTATAAGGTAGATTACCTTCCCCCACCACACTCACATAATGAAAATGGAAAGCTAGATGCCAAGATTCAAAATAAAGATAGGCAAAAATATGGAATGACAGTAAAACACAAATGCTAGTTTTCTTATTTTCAATACATAACTTCATAAGGTGAACTGATGATACCTAGTTCAGTGTAAACTACAAGTTATTTTAAGAAATGTGTTTGCCACACAACTGACTTATGTCGAAACAAACCTGTTAAGAAAAATACTGCTGACATCATCGTGGCTGATGGGTGGCTTCTTAGAGCTGGCGGCCATTCGCAGTGGCCGGAGGAAGCCGTTGACCAGGACGTAGAGTTGGTGAACATACTCCGACTCCGCCTCAACCATGGTGAACACAATCTGATTTCTCTTCCTCATACTTTCAGCATGGGGAGAACAAATATAATCCTGCACGATGGTCTTCCATTTCCTTCTACACAACCATCCTCGCATGAAGCTCTGGACCTATGGAACCAAAACAAAGCATGTCTGGAAGGTGAGAGAATGATCCTGTTAAGTCAGTAACGCAGGTTGCCCTGTGTCTTGTAAAACACTGCTCTTTCTTTCTTTTTTTAATTCTTCATTTTGCACATTTTTCATCTCAGTTGTAATCCCCATTAACTTCCTACCACCAATTCATCCATGTGCCATCACCATAGTCTCGTGATGTTTTGATTAGTCCCTCCTGTTTTGATTTTTCTCCCCTCTCCTCTAACCATAGAATGTCTCTGGTTTACAGTTGTTAGTTGATGTTCATTTTTACTTTATTACAATTACTATATATATTTTTTCTGATCCCTTATACTCCTGCTATGAGTGAAACCATCTGATATTTTTCTTTTTGGCTTATTTTGCTAAGCATGATGCTCTTCAGCTCCATCCATGTTGCCAAAAATAGCATGAATTTATCTTTTTTGATTGCTGAGTAATATTCCATTATGTATATGCACATCTTCTTGATCTAGTCATTTATTTTTGGGCATTTAGATTGATTCCACATCTTCCTTATTGTAAACAGAGCAGCAATAAACATCGGGATGCAGGTGTCCTTTTGAATTAATGTTTTTCTGTCCTTTGGGTAGATACCTAGGAGTAGAATTGCTGGATCATATGGAAACTCTATTTTTAGCAGTTTGACAAGCCTCCATATAGCTTTCCACAGTGAAACACTACTCTTTCAATCATGCACCAAAGATCCTACCACAAGGATAAATAATGGCAGTTTTTTTCCCAGGTGATTGTTTGATTGAAAAAATAATTTTTTCCCTCAGTTTCACAAGTTTCTTCCATACCTTAAGCTCTTTAGGCCTGCCTGCCTGTATGGACACCAGTATTTAACAACAATAATGCTGATTCACTGACTGACATTTCAGGAAAAAAATACATGAAAGGTTTAATCTTTAACAACATAAAATCAGATATTTAAAAAACATAAAATTTGCGACCTTAACCATTTTTAAGTGTGTATTTCAGCTGTGTTAAGTATATTTGCATTATTATACAATAAACCTCTAGAACATTTTTATCCTGGAGAAAGAAATTCTACACACATTAAACAAATCCCCGTCTTCCCCTTCCCTCAGTCCCTGGCAATCATCACTCTCCTTTCTGTTTCTGTGAATTTGACTACTGATAATTTCTTTGTATTTATTATATCTAAGTGACAGATATAACAGATAACAGGGCAGATTGCAAACTCACATATAATCAAAAGCATTATATCACTACCAAATCTTTTTTTTAGGACCATTGTTATCAAAACACTCTTACACATTATATTTTTTCCAAGCTATTTCACCCATATGGTCTTGTATTTAAACAACTACTTTTTCTTTGCAACATTTTAAATTCTCTATTACCAACTGTTATGATCAGCATATCAGATGTATTGTTTGATAAGCAATGGACTTACTATTAGGTTAAGTGAAGTTACTTATTAGTTATTAATATTAAAACATTACTATAAGTAATTTACTAACTAATAAACAAGTTTCTATAGCTGGATAGAAGTTGTAATTTTTCTTTCTTTTTTTTTTTTACTGATATCTTTGTGTACATGTAACTAGGTACTATTAAAAGAAAGGCAAGAGCAGTAATTAAACTTAACTTAAAATTTTTAAATTCCAAGAAAGAAATAATGCTATTTTACTTTTATATTTCCTGAAAAGAAAAAACAGTGCAACTTAGGGCCTTCCTGGGGCACATGACTTAAGTCTCAGTGCTATCACCACTGCTGCAAGAGCTCCAGCCCTGGTCTGCAGCAAGGACCTAACCCACATGGCACAGCAGACTTCTCCTGTCTCACTGGCTGCTCCCTTCAGCAGTGTATTTCAGCTGATCTGCCTATTCTGCTCCCCATTCTGTCTCTGGGGAATTCTCTCACCCCTGCACCTCTGGCCTGTAGCCCAGTTTTTGTGTGCATGAATAAATAAATCTTTTTTAAAAAAGATTTATTTATTCGTACAGAACTGGGGTACAGGCCAGAGATGTAGAGGGTGAGAGGACTCACCAGGAACAGAGGGGGGAGCAGAACAGGCAGATCGACGAAGTACACTGCTGAGGGGAGCAGTGGGCGGGTCAGGAGAGGTCTGCAGCACCATGTGGTCACCTCCGGGGCAGGTGGGACCGAACTCATGCTGAAGTGGCTTTAACTTCTTAGTGCTGTGCTTTAACCAGCTGCACCACCAGAGAAAGCCAATAAATAAGTCTTTTAAAAAATTGTAACTTAGGCCCTCCCTGGTGGCGCAGCGGGTTAAAGTACTGCACTGAGAAACTAAAGCCACTTCCGCATGAGTTCAATCCCCGCCTGCCCTGGAGGTGACCACATGGCGTGGCAGACCTCTCCTGACCCGCCCGCTGCTCCCCTCAGCAGTGTACTTCATCAATCTGCCTGTTCTGCTTCCGCTCTGTCTCTGGTGAATCCTCTCACCCTCCGCATCTCTGGCCTGTACCCCAGTTCTGTATGAATAAATAAATAAATCTTTAAAAAAAAAATTGTAACTTAGTCTTGAGGATCGTTTGTATTTCAAAACCTGAACTATATTTAGTTAAAGTTGTGTTACACCTGAAGGGGAATAGTAGCAAATTGACACAGGACTAAGGAAAAACTGAGAAGAATAAAGATTTGAAGCTGTGTAGCCAAAAAAAGTTCTTTAGCTGGGAAGCTTTTCACATAATGTTAACAAAGTTGAGTAAGTGCTTTACACAAGACAATTAAGATCATGAAATTAGAAAACTAGATGACATAAATCAAACACAGTAGGCTAGAGTAGTGCCAGTGCCTGGTTAATTGCAAAAGTTGTACAGTTTTAAATGACAGTAAGATGGAAAGATCTGCCAATTGTGTGGATGTTAAACAAGAAAGAAACAACATTAATAAAACAAATCTGAGCAGATGTATTGACATAGTCAATCTTTTCACAGTTCAAAAAAATCTTTTCTAAATAAGCAGTGAAGGCTAGAACTAAAAGATTTTTTGAAATGTAATTTTAAAAAGATTCCTCCCAAATACGAAAGCAGCACAGAGGTTTGAAAGCACTTAATTAATCTGGCTAGAGAACACTCCTGTCTTAATGTCCAGTTGGGAATACTTTCCACAGAGTTCAAAAGGGAATTCCTAGAACTGGAAAGAAGTCACCAACTGAGACTTCTCCACAGTAGCCATGTCTGAATCACTCTGAAGTGCAAGACTGGGAGCCATAGGAACAGAAATACTGCGGTTTATCTCAGCTTAGGGGCAGAGTGACAAATACATCCCTGCACAAAGTCAACTGCCCACCATATTCCCTAAAAGTTGAAACCCCTGCTTCCTACCTTTTTAATCTTCTTGATGTCTGGATCCTCGTCTTCTTGATTGCTTTGGTATGGTCTCATTCGTTCCTTGGTCTTTTTAAGAGCAATTATCTATAACCAAAAAAAAAAAAAAAAGGCCCTTTTAATGATTTTGGACATGTAATACCACGGATTGCAGCCTTAGCCATAAGAAGTAATTCTTACAAGGTAGCTTTATGAGATCCACAGGAAATATTCACCTTGTATGTTCCCTCTCTTCTTCTGGTGATGAGGCAAGGGAAACATGAACTTCATTCAAGTCTATTCTGTTACATTACTAACAAAAGTGCTTATAAGAAATGACTATGGCAAGTGTGAACTGGGATCTGAATTAGGAGAAATGCTAACCAACACTCAGTCCTGACTACTGAGAGATGACCAGACCAAGTCCTTCTCAGAAGCTAGTGACGTGTCAACCATCTTGCCCAAAGGCAGAGGCCTATATTGTCCTGTGATCTCTAAATGCAATAACAATCAGTTTAAAGTGTGTGTGTCCCATATAAGCCATGGCCTTTGAAGCACACATGATCTCTTAGGCAAGTGGTAACTGCAAAGAGAAGCTGGGACCCCTGGGTTGGTCCAAGTCAGTCAGGGTCAGGTCAAAAGGACCAAAATAATCTTGTATCTCTTTGTATCTCCAAGTCAAGACCACATGTCCTCTCAACTATAGTGAGTAATAAAATTCATTGTACTGCCATTCAGTTGTAAACTCTTACAAATCCAATAATGTATACTGATTTTACTAACAAGCAAACACTTAAAAAGTTTAAAGAAATCACAATTTTCCCCTCTAACCTGTCTTTGCACTTTGTTCCCAACACCAAATATACTCTTCTGCCATTTTCTGGCAGCAAAGTGGGAAAATAAAAGTGTAGGAAATAAATTATGGCTCCTGTCATGCAACCATACAAGACATACCTGCTACTGACAGTTGTTAGCTGCAATCTATATTCAGACTAAAATAGAGCATAGTGAAGACAGAGAAGCACATACAAATAAGTATTGGGGAACATGGCATGGTGCTGAGTTTCTCTCATAGAATAAATGCCAACCTCTTTCACTCAGCAGACAAGCATCTGCTGTAGCTTACTGAGGCAAAGAAAGAACACAATAATTTTGTTTTAAATTACAGTGCCTGATATAGACTTTTAAAATGCAGGTTTTTTAAGCCTTCTGTTGTTGTTTTCACTATATCAGATTTCAGGGTTGAATCAAGAAGTTAACAACACTAATGATATGGTGAACACAGTCTGCAGCTTATCATCACCAGAGAAGCAATTAGACTCCAGCTGAAATCATATTATACTCATGCTCTGTCCACTAGAGGTGATAAACACAGGATGTGAAAGCCCCTTCTGGTCTCACAACGTATGTCTGGTGTGAGGAAACACAGAGAAAAATATTGCCCAGTGGCTGTATAAGTGACAAGAAGGTTGCCAGGGGCCTTAACAGAAACATTTCTGTCAACAAGGACACAATTAGTAGTCGGCTTCATTCTGTTCTTTTCTTCCTTTGTACCTAAGCAGATGCTAGTGAGCCTCTAGTCAGAAAGAAAGGGGAAATCCCATTCTCTACATTCCTCTTCAATTCCTCCAATATTGGCCACTCCCCAGGAGGAATGACAAGAAAGCACACCCAGGTGTCTGTAGATAGACAGCAGCACCCGGGAGAAGCAGGCCACAGACCCACGCCAGGATTGCAGACTCCTTGACCACCTTGGCTCTCACCTGGAGTCTTTCCCACTGACTGGGGAGGCAGGGTCTGAGAAGGTTACACTTGGGAGGGAAGAAGGAAAAGTGAGGGAAGAAAGGAGCTGTTCCCTCACTTCCCTTTTCAGGAAAAAGTATACCCTAACAAATGTTTGTTTGTTTTTTAATAGTTTATTTGTATACATTTTATATCAGATATAGTCCCCTAGAATTTGTGCGTCTCAAATTCTAGAAGGAAGAACGATGAACTCCTTAGATCTAAACACCATCTTTCTGAACTCATTTCTGGTCCTTTCTTAGCAGTCGTTGTCAGTTAATTTTCACTTTAACTGAATCCATGACAGACTCAAAATTGTCATAACTCTAAGTTTGTTTCAGACTGACATATCATATCATAGTCAGCTCTTGAATAACTGATCAAATGGTGGCCATCAGCAACACAAATAATCAAAAAGTAGTATATTATCCTGATATTTTATTGTAGCACATTTACTTAATGCTAACATAAACATTAGGTTTATTTTAAGTTATTTATCAGTAGCCCAGTCAGGTATACATTAAGAGCAGAAGAACTAAGTGTGAAGTTAAAATTTTGTCATGATAGGTCTTAATCATAAAAGATGACATTAAACATGAAACAGTGAGAAGAAATCTGTCAATCAGGAAATACCTCAGATTTAAGCCTTTCAATCTCTGTATCTTGATCTTCAAGTTGATGCCGGAGTTGGTTGGCTGCAATTTTTTCTGTCTCCACAATCTGAACTAGATGAATATACTTCTGCATTAACACTTCCCTCTCAATCAAAATGTCTGCATAACTTGAAAGAAAATTACACAGTCAGTCATGTCATTGAACTATTGTTCTATCACAGATCCATATAAAGGCATATACTACATTTTTAAAAGAAGCAATGAATATAGTTTTACCATTTGATGAAACTCTGTTTGGCAAACTATGTGAATACTTTCAGCTTGCAAATTTTAATTTCCTTCAACTATTCAGAATTTGAATCATTAACATTTTACATATTCTTCACTAAGAGTTCATTTATTAATGGCTACCACCAACAATTTTTCACACGTGTGAGAAATGTGCAAAGGAAACCTGTTGTGTTACAAAGAAAACAGTGTGTCTTCTTAAACAAAAAAAGTGGAGGTTTTTGAGTTGATGGCACTTACTTGGTTTCCAGGGTTTATATTCAAAATATCTCACCAGGAAAAACCCTAGCTGACAAGAACAGACCTTCAGACAAACAGACCGAATCAGTGACAGCCAGAACAGGTGCTGACTTATACCTATGCTCTGCCCACTGGAGGTGACATTCATAGGCAACAGGAGGAGAAAATGCCTCACAGAATTCAGAGTATGTTTGAAAGAACTATGATATTCATAACTAATGTCCACTAGTCCCGCTTGGCTTTGTTTAGGGTTGTAAGATCACTAATAATTCTATTTCTAAAGAAGCAAAAGATACATTTTAGAAATAAGTGTAGATCATATGATCCTAACTCCAAGAGCCCAATCTGTGTAATTTCTTTGGTCAAAATGGTAAAGGCAAAACTCTCTTTTGCATACCTACTGATTATGCAATTCTGAGGCATCTAGAATTATGCTTCCAGATCTTCTTGCATTATTCAAGGTGGTAAAATATATGTTCCTCCATTAGTATAATCTTTCCCAAATTGTATGATAATAGTAGTAATTAGTGGTAGCTACTGTTTATAGAGGGAGTAGGGTGTGCCATATGTGTTCTCCTCCTACCTTCCCACTAACTTCAGGAGATAGACTTTAACACCTCAATTGTACAGAGAAAGAATTTGATCCTTAGAGAGATCACTCAGCAAATAGGTAGAAGGACTGAGATTCAAATCATGGTCTGTCGGAACTAAGTTCATGTTCTTAACCACAAGCTGAACTACCTCTCTAACAAGGACTAACACAATGGATATAAGCAAGAATGTTGCAGCCAACATGTTTTGAGATATCTACCCTGTCTTCTACTCACTAACGCTTTCTCGGTACAAATGTTTATAACCATACAATCTGACCACATTAAACCAATCTAAAAAGAAAGAAAGGGCCATATTAAATCAATTGATTCTTTCTCATTTGAATCTGGTTTGCCTCTGACCTACTTGGTTGAGATGAAAGGACGTGGACTTAGAAGTCAGGTTACTATTGTTTGGCAACCACTGTTTGACCATGCCAAAACACAGTGAGTCTGCTAAGAAAGAAAAGAATAAGCAGGTGTTCAGAAAAATAGAGATATGAGAAACAGAAGGTCTGAGACAAAGGTAATGACTAGCTGTTCCTGTAAGCTCTCCAGTTTAAGGTCACCCTCATGATATCCAAATATAATTCTTACTTTGGGGCTGAGAGGTGATATAGTTTTTGTCTAATAAATTCTCTTTTGAACTTAAACTAGTTTAAAACAGTTTTGTTTTATTTGGAAATAAAATAGCCTTAAAGCTATCCTACTATCACAATTTTAGTTCAATTATCTCAACATCCTCAGCACTTCCATCATTTGTGCTATCAGTGCTAAGAAAAAAAAAATGTCACCAGTATTTTTTTAAAGATTTATTTATTTATCCATATAAGAACTGGGGTACAGGCCAGCAGGGTGGGGGTGAGAATATTCACCTGAGACAGAGTAGGTTGCAGAACAGGCAGATGTACTGAAATGCATTGATGAGGGGAACAGCAGGCAAGACAGGAGAGGCCTGTTGTGCCATGTGGGTCACCTCTCTGGCGGGGGATCCAATTCATGTTACAGTAAATGGAGATTGTTTGATAGCACTGTATCTTTAACCTCTGTGCCATTAGGGAGCCCCCAATGTCAACAATATTTTAAAGTGACTTGTTCTAAGAAATTACCCCCAGTAGAATAGAAAGAAAGGTTGTTTAAGTTGTAGAAGAGGAAAAGAAAAAAAGAGAAATCTTAAAGAAATATGCTTTAGGGAACTTCAAAGAGAGGAAATAATAGAGTGGAAAAATTCACTATTATAATTAATATTCTTCCCCTTCTCATCAATTTTATTAGGAATATGCCATATATATCCCAAATATATTAGATCAATATTAGGTAACAAAACAAATTTTACTTTCTCTTATGAAAGGCTAATCCAAGATGTGAGAATGAGTTCATGGAAATTCTTCACCAATATCTGCCTTCATTCACTTCCAGGTACCACTGAAATGCTAGAAAAATTGTTTTATGTTTAAAGAATTAAACTACAACAGCACTATAAAGCAGAAAAGAATACCACCAACAAACCATAGGAGAAAACCAGGTAAAATCAGATGGGAAAATCTGAGCAGAGGACACATAATGTACAAAAATTTTATATAAGCATGGTTCCCACCAAAAGTAGTCAGAGAAGTTCCAAGCTTAGAGCCAATAAATACAAAGAATAGGAGTAGGCAGTGTGAGGACTGCTAGGATATTTCATTAAAATACATGCCTTCAGAACATCTGGAAGATAGGCTCCCTCTCTTCCATTCCCAAATAAAAGAAATAAGTACATGGGCAGCCATGACATGCCCTCAGGCCTAGAGAGTGAATCAAGCCAACAATCTCAGAAGTGAACTTGGAAGCAGATCCTTCCACTATTGGGCTTTCAGATGAGAATGCAGACCTGGCCAACAACTTGATTACTATCTAGTGAAAGATAGAGGCACCCAGCTAAATCATGCCCATGAGAACTGTTTAGAACAATACGTTGTTTATTATTTTAGGCATGGAGGAATAAATAAGTAAACATCAGTAGATACTAAACACATTCCCAAATGAAGAAACAGAAATAAACCAAGGAAATAAGATTAATTTAGCCAACAGAGATTCATTATCTTCAGAGAGCTATGGGAAGGTATTATAGCTACAAGGCAAACAGAAACTGGAAAAGAAGTAATCAGACAACAAAAAGAATTCTTAGGGGGAAAATTATTATTAAAATTTTACAGAACAATACACCAACTAGTAAACCTGAGAGGACTGATAACAAAGTTGGGTGGGTGGTGAGATAAAGAACACTGAAATAAATAAATAAATAAATGAAATTGGAAACATGAAAGAAAAATTGAGCAACATCGAGAATAGGGGTTTAATACCTATTTTGAGGAGTTAAAGAAAAGAAAAATAAACATGTTTATTTACTGACCCATTCCAAAATCTAACATAGCACAGTTCAACTAAAAAGTATAAATTAAATGCCAGAGAGGATAAATGAAAAACATTTCATACCCCACCACACCCTGGTAAAATGAACAGTCTAAGGATGAAGTTATAAAAGCTTCTAGAGAGAAATCACAGGTTATATAAACGAAGTGGGAGACTCAATCTGCCATATTCCTCATCCATAATTGGAAATGCTTGATTCCAGAAGAGAGATGGAGAGATATTTTGAACCTAAATTCTAAGCAACCATTCAACAAATCATATACAGAAACTATTCATTAACCATCACACTTTACAGGAGAAAATTTATGAGAAATTTTTCAAACAAACAAAACAGAACACAATGACATAAGATGGCAAAGAAAGCAAAAATCAAGCCAGATGAAGTACAGAAAACTAGAAATTAGAAGCTAATACAGGCAAGAGTTCTATCAAGGAGCATATGATGAACTTTCACTCCTCATGGAACGAAACACAACCCTGACAATTTGGTACACAATATTTATGTAACCATGATGTAAATATCACAAACTATTCTTTAATTTTGGGGATCAACAGAGTCTAAATTAAATTTAGAGAGCAAAAGATAAATGTTTAAAAGCACATAAGTAGAGATTAAATAATAATAAAGTAATAAAGCTTAGAGTTAGAGGAATGAGATTAGAGGTTAAAGAAAAAAAAACACACGGTATGTCTTAATTTACTTTTCTTTCAGCAGAGACATGCTACCTAAAGTCAAAGAATTAAAAGAGGTTTAATTACATTACTTAGAAACATAAAATAATCAATTTAACAATTAAGAATATGTAAGTAACAAAACAGATAGGACAGAGGAAGGGGAGTTAAGAGGAATTATATGAGTGCTAAATTCTTCCTATTATAGCAGGGAGCCAATAATACTGCTTAAAATTACCAAATCAAGAAAAATACAAAACAATTTTATAGAATATATGCATGACAAAAAACACAGGAAAAAAGTTCTATTTAATTGAAGAACTAAATATGGCTTATCAAATTTGGTGAAGAGTTTTATAAAACAATAATACTCAGCACCAAAGATACAGAAAGTAGGTACCTTCACTATGTCTACTAGAACGAATCATTCTAGAATACAAACCAATAAGAATCAAGAGCCATTAAGGAGGTCATATCTTTTATTATAGTAATTTCACTTCTAATAATTTAACTGAAGGAAAGATCAGGAATTTATATAGATATTTACGATGAAATAAGATATTCAGACATTAAAAACAAATACAAAACAATTTAGATGATCTATATACAGATCTATCTATATACACTGTATATAGAAAGTGATCTAAGTATACACTGTACATATAAAGTATGAAAGTGGTTAAATAAGCAATAGTAATATAAACAGTGGACTATCCCATGATATTAAGATCATATTTTTAAGCTTTTTATTTACTTCATTATATGACTTTTCCAATATCTCCATAATATCAAGTGGAAAAAATACAGCACAGAAAACCATAATGTCAGGGAGTTACTCTCTGGGGTGGAATTATAAGTGATGTTTATTTCCTTTTTAATGTGTTCCTGTGACTCCAAATACAGTCTTTCATTCAATATTCATTGGCTATCATTATGTAATCGTAACGGTTCAATGCACTGGATAT